CTGTGAGGTAGGTGGGGCTGAGAGAACTCTGACAGAAACTGCTCTTTTTCAAGGACAACTCTTATCAGAACCCACTTCTCCCACATTAGAGTCTAAGCAAAGGGTCCTTCTATGATGGGGACAAGTATTTCTCACTGGGCACTCCCAGCAGACCCACAGGTGATGCCTCCTGGGGTTTTCTGAAGCACTTCCTACTCCAACAAAGTGGAGGAAAGCTAGGATTGGCTTTTTCTTTTGGGGGCAAGAAGCAAGCAGGCACCAGGAAACACATTGGTGGGCACCATATTGGGGAGCACTTCTCTGCTACCCAGTTTTATACATCAAGGGAATGTTGACAGGGTTTTTTGTAGCTTTTCGGTATTTATATCACATTCTTCTCCTGAGATGCTTGCAGGGCCACAGTCAGGGGTCAGATCTCCAGGCATATGCTAAGGCCTCCCTATTACCCACCCAAGGTGGGAGAATTCCCTGCCCCCAGCTCCTGCTTCCCACTCTGAGGAATTGAGGAACAGGGAAAAAAATGGCCTAAACATAGTGACACTCTAGGAAGTTCCCATAGTCTCTATGGTAAAGACCATAGAGATTAAGGGATATTCCTAGAGTGTTACGATTTGGAGGCCTTTTTTCTACATGCCTCAATTCCTCTATGGTAAAGACCATAGAGACTAGGGGAGGCAGCATCAAGTGTCACCTAGAAGTGACATCTCATCACCCTCAAACTCTACTCTCTCCCCCGGTGGCATCTTCAGAATCACCCAGTATTTGCCAAGGCAATGTTGGGTACTCTACCTGAGCTCTTTTGCCAGTCTCTGTAATGCTGCACCAGCCACTGCTGTTTGCCTTATTGTTCTCAATGGTGGTGGCTGGATTGGGCTGACTACCCTGTTCATGATGGGAGTTCACTGCCTGCCATGGCTGAGTAATGCCCACTTCTGAGGAGGAGGCAATACACATAAGAGGAGGAGAAGAAGAAGAAATTTGATTTATACCCTGCCCTTCACTACCCAAAGAAGTCTCAGAGTGGCTTACAAACTCCTTTCCCCTCCCCACAACAGACACTCTGTGAGGTAGGTGGGGCTGAGAGAGCTCTCCTGAGAACTGCCCTTGAGAGAACAGCTCTGAGAGAACTTGTGACTGACCCAAGGTCACCCCAGCAGCTTCATGTGGAGGAGTGGGGAATCAAACCTGGTTCTCCCAGATCAGAGTCTGCACTCCTAACCAGTTCTTCCAGATCATAGTTCACACTCCTAACCACTCTTAACTACTGTGCCAAACAAGAGGTTCAGCCTCTGCAAAGTTGCACCGGTAAGCGGTTTTGCTTTGCCAGCCTTATAAATAATGCTGAAGAAGAAGAAGAATAGGAGGAGGAGGAGGAGATTGGACTTATACCCCGCCCTTCACTACCTAAAGGAGTCTCAGAGTGGCTTACAAACTCCTTTCCCTTCCCCTCCCCACAACAGACACCCGTGAGGTAGGTGGGGCTGAGAGAGCTCTGACAGAAACTGCTCTTTTTCAAGAACAGCTCTTATCAGAGCTACGGCTTGCCCAAGGTCATCCAGCAGGGGCAAGTGGAGGAGTGGGGAATCAAACCCGGTTCTCCCAGATTAGAGTCTGCACACTTAACCACCACACCAAAAGGTAGCGGCTGCCCTGCCCTGGATGGCCCCGACTAGTCTGATCTCATCAGTCCTCAGAAGCTAAGCAGGGTCATTGGCCCTGGTTAGCTCTTGGATGAGGGACCTCCAAGGAAGCCCTGGGCTGCAATGCAGAGGCAGGCAATAGCAAACCTTGGAAATGTTTAGTCTCAGAATGAGGGACCTGGGGATGTTCAGTCTGGAGGAGGTTGAAGGAGGACAGGATGGCTCTCTTGAAGTATCTGGAGGGCTGTCAGAGGAGGGCAGGGAGCTGTTCCTGTTGGCAGCAGAGGAGAGGACTCGCAAGAATGGGGTTAACTTAAAGGCGGGAAGGTAACAGCTGAATATTAGGGAAAACTCTTTTACAGTCAGAGTTGTGCCACAGTGGAATCAGCTGCCTGGGGAGGTGGCAAGCTCCCCCTTCCTGGCAGTCTTGAAGCAGCGGCTGGACAAACCCTTCTCAGGGATGCTCTAGGCTGATCTTGCACTGAGCGGGGGGTTGGACTAGATGGCCTCTCTGCCCCCTTCCAGCTCTGTGATTCTATAAACCTCCTCTGTTTGTCTCTTCTCTTAAAAACCTTATGGGATTGGTGGTGACTTGACCACACTTTCCACTGCCAAAACAGTGGCCATCACTCCATCTTGTGGCAATGTAGCCCATAAGCTAACTATTCTCTGTGTACAGAAGCACCTCTTTTACTCTGCCGGACAACTGCGCTTAGTGACTCATTCGAGGTCCATCGTTATGAGAAATGAATGGATCCTTTCCCCATTGTATTACCAAGAAATATTGGATATGGATCCACGAAATAATTCAAAAAATCTTAGGATGTGGGATACCATTTACACCGGAAGTATTGCTTCTGAGTATACTATCAAATGATTTTGATAAAAATATTAGATACTTGACGGTTTATTTTACTACAACAGTGAGAATTTTGTATGCCAAATATTGGAAATCAACTGAAGTACCAAAGAAACAAGAATATATCAATAAACTGATGGAAACAGCAGAAAGTGATAAATTGACTCTATTGATGAAAGGATCTACAAATTACACATTTGATAAGACATGGAAACGATTCTATGACTGGTATAACAAAGATATAACAGACTGAAGCAGCACTCAATGTATGGTATAAGTCTTCACAGAAGTGTTTAATATAATATAACGGAATATAAAACAAAGTTTAGACTTAGAAGGCAATTTCACGATGGTTAAGATCTTTTTAAAAAAACATCTTTTTATTAATTTTCAAAAGAAATAACAGAATAATCATACATTATTTTCACATCCCAGCAAAACAAAAGAACCACAAACTGGAAGCAAAAATTTACACACAGATAATAATCAATTCTGTATTCTATCTCTAGTAAATTGTCATCTCTTTGGTAATCATGTATTTCATGCCTCTCTACAAAGTTGTCAAAATGTATTCTATTCATTTTATTAAATTGTCAACTCTCTCCC